AACTCTCCATATTAAATGACTACCTTGCATTGATCTTACATCTTGGCCTTTGGTTGTCATGGAGATGTAATTGGACTTCCTTTATATTCTACCTATAAGTGTTCCTTTCACTGTGTGAATGAAATGGCATGGGAACAGCCCAGCCCTTTCACAACTGTGTGATTGCACTCCTATGAGGTCTGCAGTTGGCCACAGGCAGAGAAGCAACTGTCTTCATTAGTTGGTCGCGCTCACCACTTGCATGCACATTAAGCATCGAGACATTTTGAGACAAGTTGAATACGTTGTTTTACGTGACTAGACAGGAGATGTTTTAGTTTTCAGTCATTTTACCCCATGCATATCCAAACATGTTTCTGGTTTCTGTAAAAAAAAAAAAAAATAATAATTTATCCTTTTAATTTTAATTTTAATTATATGTTTTCTTTATCCCAACGTTACCTGATTGACATATTCAGATCAAATTTAATCAGAAAACAAACACAAAAAATGTTCTTCATCCTACAAATGAAAAGTAAATTTTATAAGAAACAAAACACACCATCACTATATATATATATATATATATATATATTTATGTATGTGTGTGTTTCATCTATATATATATATATATATATATATATATATATATTAATAAAGTAGCTATTGATGTGTAAATGATGTTACTAAGTCAATTTGCCAGCTTAGAATGTTTCTCTACTTGTGCTAATTTTATACCACATTTTAGTATCACAATTACTCCATAATTGCAGATAATTGTCTCAGAGTTTTCAGCTGATAACTCAAATCAAGGTGAACTATTGTTTGAATTGTCTATTTATTTATAAATATTTTTAAGTAAATTGTCCACATTTTGTGTTCAGTTTAACTCATCATTTTATGAGTTAACTGGTAACGTAGCACGGAGGAACAGCAGTGTTGCTATGGTTGCTATGGTTGGTATGCAATTAATATATTATTTATAACTTCACTGGAAACCTGCCAGCCAATCAGAAATTAATATTTTCGAGGATTTACTTCAATGTAGCTAATATGGCCCTTTTTTAGTTATACTATTATTTAGGGTCAGATATCATTTAAAATGTTTTACTGTCGACTCCCATACCAAACGTTTGGTACAGATGCCTAAACAATACAGCTTTTCTTAATTAAAAATCTACTGAATGCATGAGTATTAAATAACTTAATTTGAGAACTTTGTTGGGATAAAATACAGTGTAATGTTAGGAGGTTCCCAATGTAGATCAGGAAATACCTGATCAGAGAATAAGTAAACAAGCATAAGAATCTGCCCAAGCATTTGATGCCAGTTTTTGATAAGATTTTAAACCAAGTCCTGTTGTTATCCCAGTGTTATTCAAACTAGTGCAGTAGGTCCTGAGTCTGCAAGTAAGCTAATAAGTTGAAATAAGGGCTGGAAAATAAAGGAACCATAGCCACTCTTGATTTCCTTCCAAAAGAAAGCAATTGTCCTTTCACATTTTTGTGTTGTGTATTTCTTATTCCCTGCAGTCAAACTATTGATTTTTGTTGCTTGTTGCTTGTCATAGTCTTAATAAAGCTGGGCAGGTTTGCACTTCGCCATAGGGCAGCTCATCCCAATGGTGCCTGCTGTAAAGGGCTCGCTCTGTGTGCTCTGCTTTGTCTGAAAGATATTCACATAGTTGCACAACACAGGCCCAGAGTCAGGAGAGCACAAGCTGCATGACTACCTTTTAGTACATTAATTCACTAATAGATGGGCATGTACATGTTTCCTCTGCAGGGAATAGCGTGATGAAACTGTTGGAAAGATATTTACTTTATTTTTTTACACTTGGTTGTATCACTACGCCAAGTTAGGAGGCTGGATTGAAAGTAAATGGAATAAAGATGAAAAGTGCTTAATTCGTTAAATCTGTTCAGGAAGCATGCAATCAAATCGATAAAAGTAGGTAATGGGCCATTTCTTGTTCTTTTGAGATTGGATGGCGGTCTTGGTCTGTCAACAACGGTGTTGCAATAGGAAACTTTATTTTTTTTTTTTAATTAGGCATTGTAGGAACATTATTAGAGCCTGATGAGGACATTAAACAAGAGCAAATTACAGCCTGTATAATAATCTAATTACACATACAAATACTTGGACACTAATAGCTTTTGCAATGTCTCCTGCATCCTCTGTCATTTGAATTTCTTAGTGGGATTTTGTCCACAACCCACAGATATTAAATATTCACATTTTAGAAGCAAAAATCAGAGAATTTAGACATTTTTCTTAAAAAAACAACTCAAAATGATTAATCGGTTGTCAAAATAGTTGCCGATTAATTTAATGGTTGACAACTAATCGATTCATCGTTACAGCTGTAATGTGAATTATACCAACCCGTCACTCAAAGAGTATCTTTTTAATGGAGAACACTGACAGTACAAAACCTAAAAATGGCACAAATAGAAGCACTTGCCCACTACCTCTTAAATTAATGATGTCTTCTACCAACACATAAGTCTGAATTGCATGCATTTAAACACACACACTTGCACACATACACTGGAAAACTGCTGCTTCTCAGGAGGTCAAAACACATTAAGACACGTCTCTAGGGAGTTGTACTCCTGGGTCCACAGTCTCTAGATGAAAACCTCTCAGGCTCCTGCAGCATCTGTGAAATGAAGGTTAGCAACAGGACCGGCTTATATCACTTACACAAACACAGTGACACGTCATCCAGCCTCCCTGGATGACACGCAGATAACACTGAGTCATGTTTCATTAAGAAAAGGTTACAAAAAAAGGCTTGTTGATGTAAACATGCTCAGTAGTTACCTTTAGTCTATCATGTTAAATCTAACCTAATAGATATTGAGACAGATGCTATATAATGCTAATTCACACAAAATGGTACAAATCACTGAGCTTGTCCATTATAGCTGAGTCACTCCTTTTTATTGAGTACTGAAGGGGAGGATAGTGGAGGTGTTTAGTGTTGTAATTTGGTTTTTGGATTAGGATTTGTTTTATGTCTTATATGACCCGACAGCAGAGGAAGGGATGCAATATGCACTCGTGCACATGGACAAACTGTAGGCACAGGAAGACACAGTGCAACTAGTGCATGCTGGGGTTTTGCCTTTGTCTCACCAGCAGAATTTAAATAGCTGATATTATATAAATTTAAAATACAGAGTTAACCAGGATAACACTTTACCTGCAACTTTGTAAATGTAAAATTGTAAAGAACATGATGGGTGTGTAAAGACTGTTTTTCTATATTTGGGTTGGTTTAGACATAATTAGAGTTGCAGCAATATATTTAGTTGATTGTGATTGACAGACAAACAGGCAACAATTTTTAGATTCATTTTTAGTAAGTTTCTTAATAGGACATTTATTCTTTATTTCCAGCTCTGTGAATATTTCATCTTTAATTATTAATCAACAATCGGAAACTAATCTGTTGGTCAGAAAAAACAAGACATTTGAAAATGTCACCCTGCGCTCTGGGAAACTGGGGTTGTACTTTTCACCATTTTCTGACATTTATTGACTAAATAACTCTCTCTCTCGCCTAATTGAGAAGACGATCAGCAGATTAATCTATAATGAAAATAATTATTAGTTGCAGGCCTATAGACAATCAAATTCAATCAGTTAGCTCTAAGGTAAAGAGAGACACTTACTCCTGTCAAATTTAGAAAGCATGTCTGTGAATAGAACAGACACACCCTGCCTTAATTTTGCTTAAATATGAGCCAACATAAAGTTTTCCAAAAATGCGTTTATTGTTTACCAGTAAGATTTTTGGTGAACATTACTTTATGTTTCTTTATCTGGGAAACTAGGGTTGTACTATTATTTGCCTTATGCCTATTTTGCATTGGCCTAGAGACAATCAAAAGAGTCAGCTGTAAGGTAATTTAGTTGATTGTGATTGACAGACAATTAACAGGCAACAATTTTAGGTAGCAAAAGTGTTTTTAGAATTGTACTAAAAAGTTTAAGTTTTTTTTTTTATTGTCCGTTTTTTTGAAGGCATGAATTGTTTTTCGGAAGTAGACATTTGCTGGCTAAATGGGCGCATGGATGGGTGACAGAGAGAGGGAGAGGGATTGCAACAATTGGATTTGTAGGTTAATAGCATCCTCATTGACAACATAACTTGCTCATCGTGCCCCATTTCAGGCTGCAGTCAGAGCAAAAGAGCGCTGGGCTAAAACCAGACCGTAAGTACTTCGATGAATGAGCTCAGTTCAAAACAGCAGAAGATTGGCAACTGGCACTATTAGAGCTTTTAGCGCCCAATTTATCCTCTGCCCACTGATGCAATAATCCCTGATGTAAAGCATCGGTTTGTGTGCAATGGGCCTGCAGTGTTTGGCTCGGCGCAGTGCTGAAATATCTCTGTAAGCAGAGGCAGACGGGCTGGATTACTCCAGGGTCAGGACCATGGGATTAGATCCAGGGATTATCACAGCTCAGTCAGGGAGACAACAGCCTTGTTGGCCTCTGGGATTATACAAAAGACTGACAGTCAGCCAGGCCAACCACCCAGCTTCTGCTTTCTCAAAGTCTGTCAACCCTCTGGTTCTCCACTCACTCATCCCAGTATCAGTAGGTGAGGAGAGTCCTAAGTGCTGATTCACTGTCACTGCAGGAATTTAAATGTGACACCAATTCAGTTTTGGTCATGCTTCGGCTGATGAATGTTAGGCATAACACATTTTAAAGTTGAAACCCTGTTGCGGAAAACATGAAGAGCTTGGCTTAGCCTTGCTGAAACAACAATAACATTTTTGTCAGATTTTAACTCATTTCTATCATATCATATATACTTTCTATAAATCAAGTTAAACTATAATTTGTAAAATGACAATGATATGAGCATATGAACATGATGCGTGTGTGCACTAAGTATTTTAAAAAGAGCAAGTTTTAGGAAATAAATGATGTATTTTCTCAACTGTTTAAGCACAAGAAATAAATGAGTCATGCTAAATGTATTCTGTTTTCCTTGCAGGACCACGCTGTGCGAATGAGTGATTGATGCCAACTTCGCTTCTTCAGGTAAACAGCATTTAACATGCACATGCTAACATTATGCAAGTGTTTCATTTTTTCATTTTAGAGTATTCCCTTCCAAAAATGAACATGTGGGATTAGAGTAGACAATATTAAAGAAATATATTGGATTATACAACCCATAAACCCTGAGTCTCTAGATCGTAAGGAAAAAAGTTTTTGGGTTCAGTAACTTTTATTATTGATTTCAATGAGTTTTAAGGTTGTTTTTGACCAATACCCTCTTCTCCCTTTTGTTGTGCATCCTCCATATAGGGCAGAATGGGTGTGTGTCCTCTGCTCCTGCTGCTCAGTCTAGCCCTCGGGGCCTCAGCCCAGGATCATGTCCCCATCACAAGTACGAACCATGTCCACTTAAGTCTAATGTCTTCTTACGTTACAAGGCTCACAGTGAAAAATTGCACAATACTGAAAAATGTCTTCTTCTTTCTAGGTCCTCCAAATATCACTGCCAAAGCCACAGACCCCCCTGTTGCACCCTCCCTCAACTTTACAGTTGCACGCATAGAAGCCCCTACAGGCCCACCCACAACGCTCGCCCCCACAGTCATCCCAGTGACGACAGTAACAACAGCAACAACAACAACCACAACCCTAGCTGGTGAGAAGGACGTACAAGTGCCGGGTTCCAATGGCACGATGCGGGTGTTACCAGTCCCTCCTCCCGCACCTCCATCTGATGCCCCTCAGGCACCACCGACCACTGAGCCTCCCCCTCCTCCCATCCCAGCAGGGGGAGACAACGGGACGACAGCTTTCCCTCCAGACACCCCTACTCCGGACACTTATATTGATGAGGATACAATCACGATGCAGACTGAGACCATCACAGAACCTGGGATGGATACCACTTCAGACACCAGCCCACAAGGTGAGTGTTTGTTTATTTTCAGGGCACTGTCTGAACAGATGATCTCTATCTGCCCTGAATCATCCTCAGAGTTAAACAGATAGGAATTGTGTCTAAAGTCATTCTAATTATGCAGCACCTTCCTACAGTCACACAGTGACGAATCATAGAAGATAAAGACCCCTCAGGTACTTCACTAACGGTAGTCTCAATAGACAGAATCCCATTAAATACCAAGACACGTTGAGTTGTGATTAGCGTGACTCATTTCATCTTGAATGGAAAAACACCCACTTGATGTGGGTATTGCCGTCTGTCTGTCTGTCTGTGCACAAAACCTACAGCTCAATATAAGAAGTTAGGATTCTCACATTCTCTGCAGTTGTTCAATCATTCATTTCGTCAGTGTGGGGAATCACTACAGCACTGTTCAGACCCTGTGTTGTACCCAGATATTTGGAGATTGTGTCACAATGGGATTTGTCTTTGTTGCTCACATTTGATTGTATCTGTTGATGCTAAACAGAAAAAATAGACTTGGTAGCTGTTCTGTACTTTGCTTCAGGTTCATACTTTTAAACCTTATCCGAGTTGTTTGTCACTGGCAGATCAACTGTGTCAGAGAGGTTTTTCCTGCTTTGCAAACTTTATAAAGATGACTGGGCGGACCTTTGATGTTTCCTTATGCGTTTGTCTTAAATTTGATTTGAGGTTCTAATGAATTCTCAACATATTTCAGTGCATTCAGGCTTGTATTTAGAGCCGCCACTTGTCATCAGATCATCAAGACACATTGTGGAAGTAGACAAAAGGTTATGGGAATCTGGATACAACAATAAAACATAGCTTTATTAGAGTACCTCCTAGAATCCATGAACACCACAGATTGATGGCATACTGCGGAACCACATGAGAGTGTCAAGGTGTTGTTTTTTGTTGTTGTTGGTCCATCTATCTGTGTGTTATTCATGCAGGCTGGCAAAGGAGTAGCAACAGCTAGAATAAGCGCACAAGTGAAGCTTTCTGGTCAAGAGTCGACCTTTAATATTTTAGATAGTTGAACACTTTTCTCCTTTTAGACTCCATTGTAGCCGTGCTGGAAATATCCTGACGTGACATACCTGCATTTGACCAGTCATCCAAAAGAATCAGAGTGCCGCCAAACAAGACCACCCAGACACTGCAGAGAGCTGTAACTTTAATGTAAAAACAAACAGTGCTGAGGGGAGGATTTCTATGTATCCTCTTCATTTTATGAAATGCTGCGTTTGACGCTTTGATGTTTAGCGTTAAAATCGACTTCAACACTTGATATATGAAGAAAATACTTGGAATTTCAATTGTTGTTCATCTTAATTTCATGGCAGTTGTGTCTGTACACTGACCATCCAAGTAATATCCTTGTAAGTGAAACATGACTCCCTCGCCCTTTTTCTTTACATTAATTATTCATATTACATGATTATTAGAGAAATACACAAATCACTATCACATGTCACTGATTGATTTGGAAAGAGGGTTTTTATTATATATTGATAACAGCAGGTATGCTCTGAATCATCCTGCAGTACAGGATTTGAAACGGTAGCAAAAACACTTGGAGAGTGTATCTGAGGACTTAAGGAAATCTGTAGAAGTTAAGATAAACAATAATACAACAGATGTGCCTGCACTGCTGCATGGTATGTCTGTTATATAACATAATCACTTTGGGTTCGTAGGTGTTATGTAATTGCTGTATTGTCTCCCCCTGGCCGTCTGTGAGCCTTGTGTGGAGCCGTTCTAGATGGCATCAGCTCCGTCAAGGCTGTGTCAGTTTCACATGATGCCCGCAGCCTGTTGTGCTCCTGCTCTGTTCAATGTACACATTGTTTTAGGGAGAACACTGAAAAGCCCTGGGAATTGTGCGTGAAAATGCACCATAACTGGGCGGTGTTCCAAACTACTTCCCCCAGAAAGTGCATATGGGGCATGAAGTCAAATGATGCATTCTTTGGCACAGATTTAGTCCGTAACGATGAGAGCTTTCTTGAATTTTTGAGTCGCTCCATGGAACAGCTGATTTTGTAATTGCATTGTCACCACCGCCGTGCAGTTGTCTAGAAAAATCTCTTCTTTTGTTGTGACCCAGTGTGTCTTACTGACCAGTCATCAGCACACAAAAACGGCAGCCAGTTTTTTTTTGTACACCGAACTCCTGTTGTTGTCCATGCAGATCTCATGTCTTTTGTGTTAACTGTGGCAGTGAAAGGTCACCAGGAAGACTATAGGATTGCCTTCAACCAGTAACTCATGCACATGGTGGAAGCATGTACAAATTGGTCAGCTATTATAATCTACAGGAGGCATCACAAAGAATAGATAACTTGGTCAGTGTAATGTCTAATTTCTAACGTTAAGCCTTTGTTACCACAGTGCTTTGTCATATATGCTCTCTGGTTTATGATATGAAGAAGGCCTTTAACATTTACAATCTATATTATTCACCATTAATTCACACATCCTAGAAGTTTCAGTATTTTATACCATCATCCTGTGTCTGGGTATAACCAGTCATAGAAGCAGAGGGTCGACCCTCTCAGTTAAACTGTGATTTATCTGCTCACTCCAAGGGGACAGCCTGTTGCACTCACTCCGCATCTCCATTTAGGTTTGTGTTTTGCCTTTTCCTTTGGAAGGCCAATGAAATATTAACATGGACAGCCTATATAGAAAGGAAAGATGCAGACTGGGCTTTACCCACATTCTAACATTTTAACAAGCTGAATCTTGTCTGCATGTAAATGAAAACTGCATTTTTGGGACTTTAAACAGCCACTGGACATCTGTTACAGTATTAGATTGTAGCCGAAACAATAAGTAGATTAATTAGTTAGTCAATCGATATAGTAAGTAATACTCTTGTACCACTCTCATATCTACACATTAAATATAAGGCTTCATTCAGCAGCCAATTAGCTTAGCTTAACATGAAGACAGAAAACTAGGGGACGCGGCTAGCCTGGCTGTGTCTGAAGGCAACAAAAACAGCACCTCTAAAGCTCACTAGTTAACAAGTTATATCTTGTTCTTCACAGAAAGTTGTGAAATAGTCGTTTTCTTTGTGTTTTTATGGTGATGGTTATACGCCAAACATTATATAAGATTTAACATTTTGGTAAAACCACTCTTCTGTCTTGACTATATTGTATAGTTTCTTGATAAAATACATAACATTAGCAAACTAATAAAACATCCACATTTAACATATAACACAGCAAGCTTATGTGTAATGGTGTAATATGAGAATAATTTGGTAATGGCAATGGAATTTGGCATCAGTTTCAAACCAGAACACTGACTCACCTCAAGTAATGAGGCACCATTTTGATTTATTTATTATCTTTTTGATTTTTGTTTTAATAAAAAGAAAAAAAAGAAAACATTTATTCTCTTTTTCTTTCCATCTCTATTGTAGACAACACCCAGTCTGATGACATGCCAATCATAGCAGTCATGGTGGCCCTGTCCTCTCTGCTGGTCATCATCTTCATCATCATCATCCTCTACATGCTCAGGTTGGTGAAGTGCAGGCGATGGTTACACACTATGCACTAGCTAGAGACCTGTGAAAGGCCTAAGGTGCTCCTGTTACCATGGCAATATGACTGATTGGCATTCAGCTGTGAGACTTAAGCAATATGTGTGTGTGTGTGTGTGTGTGTGTGTGTGTGTGTGTGTGTGTGTGTGTGTGTGTGTGTGTGTGTGTGTATGAGAGAGAGTAAGTGAGTATCTCTGTATTAATATGCACTTTGATCTGTATTGATTGACAGGTTTAAGAAGTACAAGCAGGCGGGCAGCCATTCAAACTCATTCAGACTGACCAATGGTAGATCGGATGATACAGGTAAAACACCCACACATGCATTAATGTGTGTGTCTGTGTGTGCTTTGTATGTGTCAGCAGATGTGACTGCATACTCACTGAGCACTCATTTATTTATTTAGGGTCATATCAGCAAATATGTATAGCTGACTTGACCTCACTTGTTACTCTTAAGTTGTTTCTGATAAGACTTGATTGATCTTGCTTTCCTAACTGATAACATTTTCTCTGGTTGACTGTTGGCAGAAGGCTTTTGTTCACTGTGATTACCTAACCAACAGGGCTGCAGTTAGCTCCCTTATAGCACAGTGTTGGATCATATTGCCCTCTGGTGGCCATCTTTAGGAAAGACAAATAATGAAGGCAGTGATGTAGGACAGCTCAACTCTCATTTTCCTACCCCCTTTTCCCTTGTCTTTATCTCCACCTGTCTCACCCCTCCTATTCCTTCCCTCCTCTGCTAACTCCTGCCTCCTCCCTTCCTGCTCGCCGGTGCAGAACTCCAGAGTGTCCCACTATTGGCCCGTTCACCCAGCACAAACAGGAAGTACCCGCCGCTTCCCGTCGACAAGCTTGAGGAAGAAATGAACCGTCGCATGGCTGATGACAACAAGCTCTTCAGGGAGGAGTTCAATGTATGGCACATTCAAACACACAGCCTCTGATAACATATTGAGCCTAATGTTCAACTTTAACCCATATGGCTGTCGCCTGAATAAGTGAGTCCCATCCAGGGGCACATGTAGCCCAGGACGTATTTCAAATTCCATGGGGGTACGTGAAAAGATTATGATGAAACTCAAACTAATGTAAATGCTGAAAACCGCCATAAAACGGTTACAAATTGGTGTGATGCTGATTTTCAGTCACAATAACCAGTAATCTGCCAGCTACAGTGGGCAGCACAGTACCAGCCGCCAACCTTATAGCTACATGTTAGGATTGAGAATACATTGAAACTAGTTAGCAAGCCAGCAGAGAAGTTAAAATAGTTAGCTAAAAGTAATTGATAATTGGCCAAAATAAGAGGATAAACAAGTCCTTGTATGAACCTCGAAGATGGCCAACATCCCACATGTAGGTCCAGAACTGTACTGTGGGGAAATGCACCAGGAAAAATACCCACAGAAATGATCATCTCAAATAAGAACATTTTAAAATATAATTTAATAAACAAATTAAAGTATTAATACAATTGTCCAGATATTTTTACATTCAAAATCAAATAAAACAGCATTCATTGATATGATATACATGCTGCGAGTAATTTGTAAAAAGCAAAACAAAAACATGAACATGAATTGCCCAAAACTAATGGATAAACAGGTGAAATAGTTGGCGCTGTAAATAATTAAAAGAACTTGAGATTGCTTTGTTCAAAATGAAACATACAGACGTGAACCTTTCCATCAAAACATCTGCAATGCCAGTTAGCTTCTGACATGTTATTAGACATGTCTCAGCTTTATCTCACTTTATTGTCAGATAATCAGCCTGTATTGCTGTAGCACACTCACACAAAATACAATTGGCAGTGATTTTGGTAGTAGACACGCAGCAGACAAAATGATGAGATTTGAAACTGATACGTATCTATCTGTTCTTCCTCTCTGTTATCTAATGTGGGTTCTCTTTTTCTGTGTTTAGGCATTGCCAGTCTGCCCCATCCAGGCATCCTGTGATGCTGCTTCCAAGGAAGAGAATAAAGAAAAGAACAGATATGTCAACATCCTGCCATGTGAGCAACAGCAGAACCCTGACACTGTGACGCTGACATTAATAAATCAGCACTCAGTCCAACTGAGTTCTTGTCTGCTATTTTAAGCTTTTAGAAACATTTATCTGTACAATCATTGTAAATATCAGACAGCTTACCAAGTGATTTACTGAGTTATACTTCAGTGGTCAGGGTGGAAAAATTGTAACGGACCATGTTTAATTAAAATTCCCTCTCTCACTGTGTTCTTTCATTGATTCATTTGCTTTTTCTCTCTGTCTCTCCTGCTTTCTCCCTCAGATGATCACTCCAGGGTGCATCTCTCATCTCTGGAGGGAGTCCCCGATTCTGACTTTATCAACGCCTCCTTTATAAATGTTTGTATAAGAGCAGCATTTTTCCCCACAAAAGAAACTTTGGGCTCTATATATGATGGACTTATGTCTCCTGCTAACAGCTTGTCTTGACCTCTTTCTTTTGCAGGGTTACCAAGAGAAGAATAAGTTTATTGCAGCTCAAGGTAAGGTTTGTGCCTGCATTCATGACAGAAAAACTGTGCTGTTGTTTATTAACCAAACAAACTGCTTGATTATTAGCTTATTACTCATCCTCTGAGTTTCTGTATCTTTCTCGGTCTCCCAGGGCCGAAGGAGGAAACGGTAAATGACTACTGGCGGATGATCTGGGAGCAGAACACAGCCACCATTGTCATGGTGACCAATCTGAAGGAGAGAAAAGAGGTAGGAGAGCTGGAGCAGGAGGGATGATGATACATGTGTTTATATACTGTGTTTTGTGAGATCATACAACAGCCCAAAAGGACACGTATGTATTTTGTATAGACTAGACATACTCAGTTGAGATACTCAGTACCGCCATTACATATTTATCCCCAACCTCTTGGTTTTATTTTTAACTGTCTTAATTTGCAGTTAGTTAATTTTTTATCTGTAGTTAGTTAAACAGTCCACTTTTTAAACCCCAGTGTGAATGTGAGGCCTGTGCCAAGCATGACTAGTCTTCAAATCATGACTTTGCCATACTTTGTTTTTTTTACTGCACTCAGTCTCTCATAGATGCAACATAGTTAGGTTATTGTTCATTTGGGTAACATAATTATACTTTTATCCTTTTTTCCACAACTGAAATTATTTCAGACCTTTTATTCCCCTGTGTTTGTTTGTAAATGTTCTCAATGTTTCCTCCCTCCTTGCGTTTCAGTGCAAGTGTGCCCAGTACTGGCCGGACCAGGGCTGTTGGACATACGGGAACATTCGCGTGTCTGTAGAAGACACAATGGTTCTGGTGGATTACACCATCCGCAAGTTCTGCATACAACAGGTAATAACATTAGTGTGGGACATAATTGTTTATTTTTTGTTGTTCCATTTTCTCTGGTGTTGGAGTGACCTAAATATATGGAGCTTTGGATCTGCTGTCATTTAGTGATCTAAATGAAAACCTAGATAACACTAATTATGTTGTGGCTTGGTCTATGACCTGGTTTGTTTATGTCTCAGGTGGGAGATGTGTCTGGGAAGAAGCCTCAGAGGCTCGTCACCCAGTTCCACTTCACTAGCTGGCCAGACTTCGGGGTGCCCTTCACCCCTATTGGCATGCTGAAGTTCCTCAAGAAAGTCAAGAATTGCAACCCCCAGTATGCCGGGCCCATTGTGGTCCATTGTAGGTAAGTCGATCAAAGGTTGCACTTAACATACTTTTGCCTATTCAGTTTAGTTTAGGTCTTTACATCTCACAACCTTTTTATATTTCTGTCTGTCAGCGCGGGCGTGGGGAGGACAGGTACCTTCATTGTGATCGATGCCATGTTGGACATGATGATTGCTGAGAGGAAGGTGGACGTGTTTGGCTTTGTCACCAGGATCAGAGCTCAACGTTGCCAGATGGTCCAGACTGACGTAAGTCCAGCGTTGACCGTGGTTATTGTAGTTAACTAAACAAAAAAACTAAAACCAGGTGTGAAAAAGCATTTTAGTTAACTGAAATAAAAATAAAAACTAACTGAAAATAAACTGAATTGAAAACAAAAATTTTAAATGGAAATGAAATGAAAAATAATGAATAATAAAAAAACTATAAGATTTTGTTGTTGACATACTACTGAAAGTAAATCACAATTTCTATTCACATGAATTCAGTCTCTCCCATGATGCCGTGTTTTCAGTGCCATGATTTTCTAACTTCCACTCCATGTTGCTCTCTCTGTCCCACAGATGCAGTACGTGTTCATTTTCCAGGCGTTGTTAGAGCACTACTTGTATGGAGACACAGAGCTGGAAGTGACCTCTCTGGAGTCCCACCTGGCCAAACTCTACGCCCCCTCACCTGGAGCTGGCTGCAGTGGTCTGGAGGCTGAATTCAAGGTCTGTTTGCGTGTTGTATTCTTCCAAAGTGAACAGTTATTCTCTTTCACCCCCTTAGCTGTCATGCTTCTGCATTTAACGGTTTTGATCTCGTCATTTCTAGAAACTGACATCCATCAAGATTCAGAATGACAAGATGAGAACAGGCAACCTGCCCGCCAACATGAAGAAGAACAGAGTCCTACAGATCATTCCATGTGAGTCATAGACATGTGAGCTGTGGGTTTGTGCAGCGTTATTGTACCTGCACACAGTGATGAATGCTATGATGCGTCATAATGAAATTGCAGATATAGTCTGTACACTCTTAAAGCTTTTCTTCAATCAAGGTTAATGCTTCTCCTCGCTTCTAACAGACGAGTTCAACAGAGTGATCATTCCAGTCAAACGAGGAGAGGAGAACACAGACTACGTCAATGCCTCTTTCATTGATGTGAGTGTAAAAGCACCTGGTATAAGAGTGGATCATTTATTTTATTTCATTTCATTAATGCAAGCAATCGATAAGTCTCCCTTTCTCCCTCCCACTGTTATTTTTATATCCTCCATTTATCCCTCCATTCCTTCTGGTAATCACTTCCTGTCCTTTCCTTTGTCCGGTCACAGGGCTACCGTCAGAAGGACTCCTACATGGCGAGCCAGGGCCCCCTGCAGCACACCATAGAGGACTTCTGGAGGATGATCTGGGAGTGGAGAAGCTGCTCCATAGTCATGCTCACTGAGCTGGAGGAGAGAGGGCAGGTGTGTGTGGATGTGTGCAGATACAAACACTAGTGTTAGATATCGGGTCAATAACTGGCTAAAATAGAATATTGATATTAGATAGTTTACTCAAAGCTAAGTTGATGCCACCAGTCCTGTATAACATGGTAATAATCTGAGCAAAGTGACTTCTGATCTGTGGTGGTTTTCCAACATATCTTTCTGTCGGATCTTTGATTAAATGTTATAGAAATGATTAGTAGTTACGTTGTGCTAGTTGATGCTACAATAAAGAGTAAAAGTATTTGTTGGGAATTCTTGAGTCTTACTAGGAAATCCTTTTTCATGGCCAGAACGGGAACTGGTTTAGAATCCAGTTATTTCCAGATTTGGTTTCTGTTTCCTTCTTTGCTCGTGTAATTAATAATGAATGTACTTGAAATTACCATCTCTCTTTAATAGTCATTGCCATTTAGACATCTTTTAGAATTGAAAAATCACCCTAGATGTTGATGACATTGCCATTTTTAGATTTCCTTTAATTTTCCAAATCGTAGCATGTCGTTAAGCGTGGTAATTTGACCATCTCTATTGTTGGTCATGTAGGAAAAGTGTGCTCAGTATTGGCCAAGTGATGGAGCAGTGGTCTATGGGGACATCTCCATTGAGATTAAAAGGGAGGAGGAGAGCGAGAGCTACACAGTGCGTGACCTCCTGGTCACCAACAACCGGGTAAGGAAGGACAAATACAAACACACTCAAGGGTCTAAGAGATGACTAAATATCATCAATTAATATTGTGCTTTTTGCAATGCTTTATACCAACAACAGTCTTTGCAATGCTACGTATAAAATATATCCTAATCTATTCATCTTTCCAGGAGAACAAGGCTCGAGCAGTGCGTCAGTTCCATTTCCACGGCTGGCCGGAGGTGGGCATTCCCACTGATGGTAAAGGCATGATCAACTTAATTGCTGCAGTGCAGAAACAACAGCAGCAGTCTGGCAACCACCCCATCACGGTGCACTGCAGGTAAAACGCACACACACACACACACACACACACACACACACACACACACACACACACACAACCTTCTTCACTCAGTGGATTGCAGTTTTAACCTGTATTTACAAGTAAAAGAAAAAAATGGGAAAACAAAACACTTGATGATAATAATAATAATAATATTGATTGTTTGTGTTACTGTTGCACAATGGAAATATTTCTGGCAATCAAGTGTGCGAGTGTGTGTCTGGGAAATTGTTGCAGCTATTAAATCACAGGAAAAAACAGCTCAGAAGAATTGTTCTCTTCTTCCTTGTGACATTTAAACTGCTCCCAGAAATGTTGCTCTGCTCCTTCTCACGACAAAACCTGTTGTGTATATGTAATTGCTGCTAGTGTGTATGTCAAGGTTTACATTTATGCCTGTGTGTCTGTGTGTGTGTGTCTGTCTGTGTGTCTGTGTGTCTGTCTGTGTCTGTCTCTGTGTGTGTCTGCGTGTCTGTGTCTGTGTCTGTGTGTGTACAGTGCTGGTGCTGGCCGAACAGGGACTTTCTGTGCTTTGAGTACAGTCCTGGAGAGAGTGAAGGCAGAAGGCATCCTGGATGTCTTCCAGACAGTCAAGAGCCTCAGACTGCAGAGACCCCACATGGTGCAGACACTGGTGAGGGCCCCTTTGAACCTTTTTATGGGAAACTAGTTTTGATGACCTCTTTGTCATAAGTAGGGTTGCAAAATTCCGGGAATTTGGAAACTTGGAAACTTGGAAAAGTTGGAAACTTTCCATGGGAATAAACGGGAATTAACAGGAATAAACTGGATATTTTTAATATTGCTTGTTATAATACTGTTAGTCTATAACAGGGAACTTACATGTAGTTGAAAAGAAACATCTTGCAGGATAATCTTGCTTAAAACAACCTGATTTAATGCAACTTCAGTTGAATGTCCTCCCTATATTCATCAATGACATGCACACACGCAGTTCTTTTTTTTTTGGGGGGGGGGTTTAATACATAACCCATTGCTATTAACCTTTTGGGTTAATTGTATTGTAATTGTATTGCAGCTGTGCTGTTATTGTTTGTGGCTTATCTAACAAGCTCAATGTGAAATAATAATGTTTTTCTACAGAAACACTAACGTTTCAAGTAATTCCGTTATTGCAAGTACATTTCAATAATATTTTGCCATTTTCGCCTATTTCAATGTCAACAAGTGCTGTGGCGTTTGTCTCGGGCCACCAGGCGCAGTGACAGGCTAGTGTTATTGTTAGCTACATTAGCCTGTTTAGCAAACCAGCTCGAAAACAAAACTTTACATCGTATTGCACGCACAGCAACACCGTTTTCAATATGGGCGCAGCCATCTTTGTTTTGCAAGTCTTACGTTCCCCCTCCTTCAGCTCGGTGTACTCTGAGGATGTTTGATGGAGTTTGTATGAATGACCCAACTTTTCCAGTTAATTCTCCTAAATTCCCATTAATTCCCATAATTTCCAATTATTCCCATGAAAGTTTCCAAATTTGAATGTTTCCAAAATTCCCCATTATCTTTCCATGGGAAGTTCCCGGAAAGTTTCCGGAAATTTACCGGCAAATTTCCGCCCCTTTGCAACCCTAGTCATAAGGCCTTATAATCATTCGATATGAACATTTGATTTAAATTTTTGAAAATCAGTTATTAACAGTTATTAAATGTGTAACCAATAGAAGTAGACGCTTGATTCCTAAGATAAGTATAACAATAACTTAAATATATCTTCATGTCATTAAATCCTACACACTGGTCCTTTTTAAGGTGGGTATGTGCTGGACTATTTCTTGCCTAAGAGGCCAGTTTCCAGGCAACAAGCGGAGGTTACTGGTCCTGGTCAAGTAATAGTCTGGCATGTTACCCACCCACAAGATGTAACATGGTAATTAGTGAGTGTCAGAGGTAGTGGTAGGAAGATTTTATTACCTTTGGACAGAGCCCAGTCTTTATGCTAAACTAAGATAATCTAACCAGCTGCTGGCTCCAGTTATAGATTTTATTATATAGACATGAGAGTGGTGTTGATGTACCCATCTAACTCTGGGAAGGAAAGAGAAAAGAGCTTTCCTAAAATGTCGAACTGTTCCTTTAAGAAATTAGTTTCATTTTATTTCAGAGATAGAAATGAAATCAAAATGAAAGGTGGATTTTTTTGTACAGGTTTGTATTCCTCTGATGCCTTTTAAGTGATCAGTCTAATTGCTTAGATCTTACAAATACAGTTGTTTAATTCAGTGTATATTCTCCTGCGTGATTGTACTGCCGTTGGTACTGTAAGCCTTTCTACAAGGGATCAATGACAGCAGTGATTGAAATGTCACAGATTTGCCAACTGGCGTGACTGTTTCTCCTGTCCCCTCCTCCCTCCACAGGAGCAGTATGAGTTCTGCTACAAAGTGGTCCAGGAGTATATTGATGCCTTTTCTGACTACGCCAACTTCAAGTAGGGACCTGCCGTGGATGGATGGATGTCCATATACAAGCATATGCACACACCAGAACACACACACTTACATTAACATGCAGAAAGCTGCATAATCCCATCTGATGGATTTAAAAAAAAAAAAAAATCATCACAACTTGACCTGTGGATGGGATGAACTGCCCAGAGGAAAAGGGAACAGAGGCCTCGGCCCAGAGGACAGGGCAGCGCAGTCGGACAGAGAAAATAACTGAGATGCCTTCTTGAATATTTTGTAATATTGGTCTTGTTAATACATCCCTTCACCCCCATTTGCTCCCCCTCCCCATATGTATATATACTTACTGTGTTGCATCTTATTACTTTGGTTTCAGACACAGTTTTGAGTTTGGCTGCATTTTCGGGTGGCACCTGTAATGTATTTTATTGGGTATATATATATATGAATATAAATCTAATGCTTTGGAGGCTAATGTAAAAACATCCAGAGTCAAGATAATGTTTGGGTTTCATTTTTCCTTTTTTCCTTTTTAGGGACAGAGACTTAAAACATTTTTGGCTTTGCTAGAGCCGCGCTGTAGCAACATGTGTGGTAGCAGAACCCTGAACACTTGCAGACAAAACTCCCAGACATTTATACAGTACACATACACACAAGAGGAGCCATTTTTTTTCACTCAGATTTAGTTTTATTTATCAAGCCAATTACAATTTCTCCCCTTAGTTTCAGGGGTTCGAAGGTCACTCACGTTTAAGAATCTCTGTGACGTAGCTCATAGACTCAGGTTGACATACACACACAAACACTAAATACCAGGAGCCATTCATTTTCTTTGAGCATCTGTGTGTGTGTTTGTTTGAACGGGAGCATAAGCTAGCAGAGAAGACACAGTGTGTTTTCACATCACTGTCAGCTATCAGCCGAGTGCCAAAAGTCCTTCACTCACTTCTTTATGAAGCTCTGGAGACTGAGACACTCTTCCAACAGTGTTTAGACATTTCGTCTAAGCTTCTGTAGCCAACAGATTTCTGGACCAGGAGATTGGGGGAAATAGAAAATAAATATAGATATTTTTTTTTTTACCCTTTACAGAAATTTAAGGAATAGGAGCAATGGTCAAGCTTTAATGTAAAATCTCTTTATTTTATTTTAAGGTCTGTTACAGTATCGGCAGCAATGTTGGTCATGTTGACAAACCAAAACACAATCAAAGTAACTCCATTATTGCATCATAGAAATCAACAAATGCTATATACACAGCATATTCCTTTTCTTGTTTACAGACACACGTCAGTATTTCTTGTAGATTGTATTGAGCATTTCTTTACTGTATGGGTTTCCTTTGAGTCTGCCTGAATTAACAGTCACTTCTTCCTCCTTTTTTTTTATATCTGCCTCGCATCACTCCACTGTACTGTCACTCTTTTAAAGAATCATCCAACTTTATTTCCCACCATGAACACTAATGCTGAAGAATGTTCATTTTTATTCGAATGCTGTTTCTAACATATTCCTCAAAAATGGATTCATTGTTACTTTACTTACTTTACTAGTGGAGGTGTGCCATGCGATGTTTGCTATGATTTTTATTTTTTATTTTTTTAGTCCTGTGAGGACATTCAAACTTGAACTACAGTGCTTGTTTTTTAGATGAGGTCACAATTGAGGCCCTGCCCTTTATGGCTGTAATGAAAATTTAATCATGTCAGTTAACCACAGAGCTTTCAGGTCAGCCCTTATTTCAACTCAGTCAGCTCAGGAAATGACTGATGCCAGGGTTGTTTAAATTTTCAAATTGAACAAATTCAGCTTGAGTCCATCTCCACTCGCCTCACGCTTAAGTGGTTTTAACATATAACGCCCAAATTGTAACATATTTTAATGCCATGATATTGGAAATTATATTCCTTTTAGGACTTCTTCAAGAGATTATTTTTAAAATGTAGATTTTATCTGAAAACAGCCCCATACTTGTACATTATGTAAGTCACACTAACAAATGCATTAAACTAAAAGAAAAGGAGCACAATCAGATTTAATTTATTGATAGTGGACATCATTAAAAGTACATGCTGAATTATCAGGAAGGGTCATTGTGTCAATGTTGATTGTTGAACACTCATGCACTATTTGCACCAAAAGCAAAGCCCTTAGAAATACAGAACCAAATAAGAGATCAGGTCAGAATGATGATATGGCCTTTGATATTGGAGTATGGGAACTATATTGGAACATTTTAGAGGCTTTTTCAGGTCTTCTGTAAAAAGGCCCCTGCAGGGACTTAAAGTAGCAGATATTTGAATTGACCAGTCACTGAAACTGTTGCCTGTTTGTGCATCGTCATCGTCATTTCAGGTCTTCTTTCGTTCCAAAGCGTCACAAGTGCCCGCACTCTTAGTTAGGTGCCATTATTTTCTTGATTTATTAACTTTGTTGCTTATTGGGTCTGTAGAGGGGATGCTTTTCGTTTGGCTATTCTGTCTGTGCTTCAATTACATGGGTTTAATGTGTGTTTGGATCCTGTGATCACTTTGTCACACTGCAGTCTGACAGCAAAACACGACACTGTGCCAATCCACAAGACGCACTATTTTGCTATTATAGTGAACTTAAAAAGTGCCTCACTGGTATGTTTTAAAAAAAACAATTTAGATAATCTTAATTTTCTCAACTTTACATAAAACGTGGTGGTACCGTTGTCATCCTAAAGGCTGTCCTTTTGCAATTTTCCCAATTTACTATTATATTTTCCTCAACTATCACGAGCAGACCGATGACGTACTTCTTTGTATGACGAATCAGTAGGGCCAAAACCAAGACTGGGTCAGTCATCCTTCCTTTCACATTCCCTGTAGTAGCATAGACAAACATACCTTGATTGTGGAGATCAAACTAATATTGAGGTCACTTTTTAATTAATTCCATCTTTGATTTAATGGCTTCATTTCATTCCATATCACTTTAAATGAGGGATCCATGACAAGTAATCAATTGTGGGTACCCGAATGTTCAACAAAAAAAATCATAAATTTTTCCCACAACAATTACAATTGCATCTTTTATGCATTATCTCCTAGGGAAACCAGTTGTCCCTCTTTCACATCCCAGTGGAGCATTTTGAATGCCCCGGAAAAGCAAAACATCTCTCTGTTTCTAGAGCATTGGACTTGAGGAAGACCAGAGTCCAACTTTGCTCTTCTTCTCTCCACCTTTTATTTGTCCTTTTATGTCTCCTATCCAGCTCCACTCACTGCTGTCCTCTTATTGCTTCCTTTTCCTCTTTCACTTTGTCCTTGGGACCATTTTATCCCAGTGGTCACTGCCCACTCCCCTTTGTACATAATGTAAGGTTATTTATATTTCATTCCTGTCTGCTGCCTTGCTAATTTTATTTTCTAATCCCCCTCCTTTTTTTTTCCTTTTTAAAAGATGTATATTGAACTGTATCGGGACCATTTTGAAATGTATTAGAGATGTTTTGTTTTGGCCATTTTTAATTTGGTATAATTGTCTTAAGCAAATGCTATTCTTTAATTTGCCTATGTTTGTTTTTAGTGTTTTGTTATTCAACATTTGAATATATGTATATATAATTATATATATATGATAAAATTATATATAATTATATAATGCCAAATGGCCTTTCTAAGCAAGATACTGTTCAAACCTAATAAAGTGCTTGAGATTTTATGATTTGTCTGTGTTTATTATGTCTTTAAATGTAATTTAAAACGCATAAGTGCAGTTGCATCATATGTCAGACTTCTCAAATGCAGTCATGCATTGTGTTTACTCATTTCAAGTCGGGACAACCTGATGCTCATTACAGCACGCCTCTAAATGAAGACTAATGGTACAGTGGTCCAAAATAATTGCCAATCATTCATGTACCTTATAGATCAGGCTGTCCTCTTCAGTGTTGCTCTTGAAGGGTTTTCAGTGTTTAACCTTTCACCTTTGATCAAATAATGTGCTTTCTTTGTCTTTAAATAATTAATCAGGAAATAATTTAGGGTTACTGTTGAAATGTTTTTGTGGACAGTAATACCTGGAATACATTTTAGGACACATTAGCTTTACATTACGATGGTATCGCTATTGAATGAATCTGATATTATTCAGCTCGGTGGGCTTACAGTTTCTTTGGGTTTTGTTGTGCAGCAGTCTACCAACTCAGCAGGAATGTCAAACTATAGATAGAAAGATGGAAAGATATCCAGTATAAATCTAAACAATGACTTTAAAGGCCACTCTACTAATTGCAACAATACTCTAATTTCTTAAGATGTTTGATTTGAAAGCAAACTTATTATAATCATAACTATTTCAATTATCTATTAGCCTTTCTGAAGAATTCTCATTGAATTCATTCTGAGGAATGATAAAAGATGCATCCTATGCTTGCCAACTCTTCAGATTTTTCTCTCTCCCCACTGTTCCATTTCACTTTCTATTCCCTCGTTTTTTTTTTCAGTTTATCAGTTATATTGAATTAGTGCTGTCAAAGCTCAGGACAAAAAAAAGGTGACATGATGGTCAGACCTCTGAAATAAACTAAACTTAACTAACATTAAACATGATTTTACAATTGGTTTGTATCTCTTGAATGTGTGCTGGAGAATACAAAATGGTAGATAACAATATAGCCACCCATCAGTATAATGTAAAACTTGTAAATGTTCATTGACAGACTTCTGAGGAGGTTTTTACTCTTGCTTCACATAGACAGGTGAGTCTGGGAGCAGGGATCATGTCTCATCAGTGACGCATCATGGAGCCATCTTGCTTCAACCAATCCTTGGAACCAAACAGCAGGACGTCACGCTGCCAGTCACCGCCTGAGTAACAACTGGTTCTGCATCTAAAACTCTGAAAAGGAAATACCGTTCCTCCTCTCTAATTGAGAGGGATGTCATCAGTGGCCTGGGCAAAAGTCCACAGTGTTTGTTCCCCTTGTCATCTGTGTTTCCTCTGACTGAAGGGTCGTCTGGGTTAGAGGGAGGATGTGTGATGGGTCACTGTGGTCAAAGCCGGTGCAAAAAGAGAGGAGATTGGAACTATTGAGTTTTATTTCCTGACAAGGATCTACTGTTTGATCTGAGAATCTGAGAAATACTGTTAGTCAAAGAAGTGCCCAGACTATTAGACTATAGAGTTATGTTTGAATATATATTCAATTATATATATTGACTTGGCACTGGGCACTTTTGATACATTTTTGAGAGTTTTGAGATTTCTTTTTTAAGTCTGTGTGCTGCAGAAAAAGTGTACATGAATGATACTGTTCGTCATTTATCTGGTAACTGAATGAATTAAATCAGTTACTCAGCGAAAGTGGCAGTATTTGGAAGTGGATATGGGTGGTACATGTGAGCAGATGAGCATCCCAGGGGCCAATGCTGTTTACAGGTGATAATTGGAATTGGCCATGTCTTCTGACCTCTTGTCCCCAGGGACTGTTCATTTCACCACAGGGGACAGAAGGACCAGTGGGGTCAGTGATGGGCGGGACCATTAGGGATTGGTAATAGAAATGTGTGTTGGGAGGGGAGCTATTTAGAGTGGTACATATATTGAGGAGGAGGACGAGGTTGAAGAGAATCTCAACAGTAATACACTTTGAACTGTGAGATACGTTCAGAAACTGACCAACTGAAGGACAAGCAGAGAGAGCTCCTGGTGGGACGTTGGGACACCTGAAGTGACAAAGTTGAGACGAAGGTAAGGACACTTACTTACACTTCTACATAGCTTTACTGTATTCTGTCTAAAATATACACTGGTAATCTTAATATTACAGTGGATGTTGTTGGAGACCTAGCTTTAATAGAAGGTGATTATTATAACCCGAAACTTGTTGTCTCTCGTGCTAAACTGATTTTATATTTTTATGAGCATTTTTCAGTATTTGGCCTGACATTTGGCCTATCACAGCAGGACATTGGGGAAAACAGGCAATGAATGTTGAAAGTCCCAAAAATGATGGCCAGTGTTGCTGTTTTTACTACGGTTAAATGAGAAAAAAAATTACTGTCAAATAATTCAGTCCAAATATTAAACCTCGTACTGTGTCTTAGCCTGAATGTCTTGATATTGTTGCTATATGGTCAACTCTATTAAGCTTTTTATTGCACGAAAAGCAAAATCAAGGATGCCAAGCAACTGATGGAAAATATAATTACAGCAATTTACATGAATATCATGTAAACACTTTGCAATTTGTTTAGATTTTCTAAATCAGATACCAAAGGATCAAAGACAATAAAGCCTCTTATACTCAGAGCTAACTCACTGTCCATCTCTGCCTTTAGGTGGGAATATCATGTGTGTATCTCGGCTGGTTTTACTGTTTGGGCTGCTTCTATGTGTGGGGGCTCAGCTGTCCAACGCCCAGCACTGGTCCCATGGTTGGTACCCTGGAGGCAAGAGGGAACTGGACTCTTTTGGCACTTCAGAGGTTGGGATCAGTGTTTGTGTGTGTTTTCTCATTCACTGGGCATTTCCTGTTGAGAATGTAGATGTTCTTTACCTCTTTACTCTTCTCTGTTTCTCAGATTTCGGAGGAGATTAAGCTGTGTGAGGCAGGAGAATGCAGCTATTTGAGACCCCAGAGGAGGAGTGTTCTGAGAAATATCATTGTAAGTGGACTAACGGTACCCGATCCTGTGCTGTATGGGAGCAGGTTGTACACAGATGCCACCTTGTTGACATAATGCCCAACATATCTATACACTGGACATAACTGCAAAACATTGTACAATAGCTGTACATTACAAGCATAGTGTATAGTGTGTCTGACTATCATGTTGTACTGTATCATTCTTCACAGCTGGATGCCTTAGCCAGAGAGCTCCAGAAGAGGAAGTGACAGCTCTCCAGCCTATACTGCTTTTCTATCCTCTTCTTCTGTATTCTTGTCTTTGTGTGAAACAACTTTATGATGATCCTCTGTTCTGGTCTATTTCATGGAGTTGTCAGTAAATTTGTTTTCCAGCATTACATGAATTTTCCCATTGGCAAACAAATGTTGAAATTACAATGTCCCATAATAAAGTACCTATTTTGATATTAACTTTCTTTCATTTTTTGGTGTCCAAAATTGTCTATGGCATAGTGTGTATAATAATGTCAAGTAAATAAAGGAATGGTAGGAACCATAGTTGTTGTGGAAGTAGCAAAACAATAATAAAATTCATGATGGTTGAATTATATAAGCTGTTTTGGTCTCAGGGTCCTGGTATTGTGCATGCTGGCCTACTGTCGTGGCTGACTGGGCCACTAGAAAGGAACAAATAAAAACAGCCTATTGACAAATACACTATACTGGAATTTTAGTTATTTTTTTTTGGGGGGGGGGTTACATTGGTTTTAATTTTACATTTACTTGTTAGGGTTTTCATAAAAAAGGGTCAACAATGTAAGCTACGAAACTTTCAACACTGTATTTATCAATTTGAATAATAAGAAAACCCAGAGTAGTCCAGTAAGTTCATACACTGAGTTTGATTGAGGTAAGATACTTTTATAATGATTATCCTTAGACGGATTATCCCTTCAAAGCAAACGCCATTAGTACAGTACAGCGCCACTGCGCATGCACCAAACAGCTAGGAAAAAAGATGGACGACAGAGGTGTCTGTTCTCCGCTGCTTGCAGAGTCAGACGCTCAAAATAACACTATTAGTACCCCTAACGCGGCTTCTGTCACAGATGCTGACAAAGTAATAAACACTAAAACAGATAGTACCCAGGTTGAAGGTGAGTTTTGTCTAGAACATGCAAATTCAGCCGTACGGCGTCCTACCTACCGAGCCAACGTTAGCTTTTTAGCTAACTAGCTAGCCAGCTCAACAATCGGATGAGCTAAGTTAGCTCCTTAGCTAAATACGCTATGTCAACTGTCTAACGTGAGGAGTTGCTCAGTATTATATATACCGGTCTGTGCGTACATAACTCGTAAAAAAAAAAGGTATCGCCCACTAAAACACCATTTTAATACTTAAACCAGCCTGATAATGGAAGTATATACAAAGTGAAGAGGTTGCTCGTTTTCCAGGTCCGGAAGTGGTTAGCCAGTTGCTAATTGTCTTGCGAGGTAATGTCTGAAAGCTCCAGTCCCCAACCCAGACAGCTGGTTGGCCATTTAAATCAGCCACATAACACGCCACGTGTTTTGGGAACGTAGGCCACCAAATAGCTTGATCCTACATAGTGAGTGACATTAATTTTACCCCCTCTCTGGCAATAGATGGTAACTTAGACAATAACGGTATTTAACCAGTCAAAGAAATTAACTGCAGTACAATGAAGCAGTACACAAACTAGTCTAAAATGTGGAAAAAAGTACTCTCAGGTTGGATGTTAGTTTTTTAGGATCAAAGAGCTCATCAGCTGAAGTGTCATTCAGTCTAACGTGAAAAAAAGGCCATGTGATCCTCACTCGGTGGCGCCGCTTACCAGTAGAATAAAATAAGTTCAATATAAGGGTGTGAATAGAAAACATTTTCTCTTATACAAACTTCGTGCACATACTTTGAGAAACAGTACCTACAGTCTCTGTTTTCTCGTTAACTGCCAGTGTGATTATCATTTGGTAAGTACAATATTTGAAATGTATCAGCAGACAGCATATACAGTGTTTAGACATTGCTTTACTCATGTCAGTACATAGTTTATTTGAGCTGTATTATTATTATTTTACATTGGTACAGAGGGAAATTCTGTATTTCAGTGTATAATTGTTTTATTGTATTACAGTGGAGTAGTAGACGCTCTCAAATTATCCCATCATGGTCCTTAATTCCAGTGACTTACTTAACCTCAGTTTTGTACTTGATAAGGCTGCAATGGTCATTTTCAGTATTGATAAATATATATAATTGTTTGATCTGGTCAATGATTTATCAGTGACATCTTATCATCATAAAGAACGTCAAGCACATCTTTGCAGATGAGACACTAACAAATAGTTGTTGCTCAAAATAAATGAAGGTAATTAATTTAAAATCATTAATCTGTTAGACTAATTGAGTGATCAACTGATAATTTCACCACCAGTCATAAAAGCATATTTACCATTCATGTCCCCCTGATTAGCTCAGTACAGCATACTGCATCAGGGCAGCCAGCAAAGATGTAAATAAATAGATTTTCACAGATTACCTCGTCCATATTTATTGATGTAAATTGATTGATCATATGTCATTTTAATTGAATCTCTAAGAATTAAACTGACACACTTCACACACTGCTTCATCACATTTTTAGAAAAATAGCCACACCCATAATCAACTATTTGCCCAAGGAGTTGAGCTGTTATGAGGATTATTCATCCACAGAGATGTTGCAACATGTTACCAAAATCTGAGTCCTAAATAATCAAGTTCAAACTGAAAGTGAGCAGAGCTTGATCATTTTTATTGATGCTATACAAAAAGTGCAGTGAAAAATTAATATGAGATATTGGACAAGCACAATGAAAGCAGTCTAGCATGAAACCTTAATTTTCTCACACTGTAGCAATATATGATACAAGTGTTCAGCAGTATTGCTGCATAGGACTAAGAGGTTGGTGTTGAGTGGGAAAAATAATTTTTTTATGGAAATTCAGGTATTCTTTGAAATGTAATGACGGAGGGACCTTATAGTTTACTGCCATCCCAAGTAATACTTTTGTTAAACAATATATAAATTATATTGGACAATGGATATTGCCTTGCTTTAAATATGGTCTCAAGGGCGTGGGAGTGTGGAATTCAGTAAAATTTATACAATTCATCTAAAATACTGCATTTTCTATTGTACAGGAAGTGTTACAAGGAAAAGTTTATAAATTAGCATTTAATTTAGATTTTTTTATTTTGCAGCTACAAATGTTTCAAAAACTAATTTGGTTAGAGAAAAACCAGAAACCAGTGCGGAGACACAAGAGCATCAGTCAGATTTAATTTAATATAGCTCTTGAACAGAGCTTTAGTTATATCTAACATAGGTTTGTATTATGTATGTGAAAAAGTTAAATATGCTTTTAATTTCTCTCAAATGAATAGTCCCTTCCTTGTTCATACTTAAATAATCTTCCACTAAATTCACTGTGGCCTAATTGTAATGGTGACCGTACCTTCTGCCTCACAGGAGACCAGAGCGAAGAGGAGCTACTAAAGGGTCTCCTCACTGACGACTACTGCCATGTGTGCGAGGCTGTGCTGCTCTTTGAATCTCAGCGGTTGTCCCACTATGAGGTGTGCGCTGCTTTCCAGAACTAGTCATGGAACTCTTGCTGTGGGAGCATTTGTAATAATGTCTGCCGTGTCCCTCCCCACTGCAGGGAAAGAAACATGCTCAGAAACTCAGGGTGTACCTGCAGGCCAAGAGAGCCGAGAGGATGAACACAGAGTCCACAGGACCCCAGGTTAGCACTCATTCAGAGATTTTATTCCTTACACATTTAGGTGTAATCTCAATCTGTAAAGACGAACAATGAGTGTAGCAAACAAATGAACATAAACCATAATGCTGCAAGCATCATAACAGTAAGGAGTCTTACGGTCATAGCTTTAGTGCTATGGTCTAAGACGTCTTCCTTATTTCTTCTTTATTCATTGTTTTCAGCTGACATATTATATCAGGATTAGAGCTATGTATGGGCAAAAGTTTACAGCTACAATACGCATCGTGATACAGGGTTACAGTTCAGTATATTGCAATATATTGCAGTTATTAAAAATCTAACCCCCATATGCATAAAATCTGAATTAAAAAGTACTCTGGGTAGCTAGTAGCTCACCTGGTAGAGCTTGCATCCCATGTACTAAGGCTGAAGTCCTTACTCAAGCAGCCCGGGTTTGATTTCAACCTGAAGCCTATTTCCCGCCTGTCGTCCCCTCCCCCGTTCCTTTCTTTCAAGCTGTCACAGTCAAAAAAAGGCATAGAAAGCCTACAGTCCATATAACATCCAACATCAAGGTCCTCAGTTTACAACACTGCTGTATAGCACTTGGGGATTTAAATTTAAATATTGATACAATATATATCGATATTTTCTTACACCCCTAGTCAGGAAGCATATATCTGTTTTTTGACATCCCAGTTTCATGCCTGTTTTTTGCAGCGGACCATGACTACTGATAAGGACCATTTCTGTGAGCTGTGTAACATGGTGTTTAGTTCCCACGTGGTGGCAAGATCACACTATGAAGGCAAAGTCCATGCAAAAAATCTTCGTAAACAAGGTCTTCAACCCACAGGCAAGTGTGGGTTGTGTGATGCAAAAGTATTATAGTGATCGGGTTTTAATATCTACAGATTAACAGTAAAGTTTGTTGAAAGTATGATTCCACTGTCTACTGAAGGTCAGCTTCAGTTCAGAAGGTCAAAGACAAAAATTAACTTGAATTAATGATTTCTCATTGCAGTTATAGACAGGTACGCAGAGGCGCATACTTTACCAAGTCTGACTCGGGATCCCGATAATGCTGACCAGAAATCAGCCCCAGAGGATGTTGTGGAGGAGCGCCCGGACCCGACAGCTACCACAGAAACCCCCAGCACCGAGATTGATCTCAAAGACCCAAACAAGTATTGTGCCCTGTGTGCTGCTTCCTTCAACAATCCCCAAATGGCTTTGCAACACTACAATGGACGCAAACACCAGAGGAATCAGAGCAGACAGGAGCTGCTCAAAGAGCTTGGAGATGATGTCCAACAAGGTAACACAGGATCCCGCCTCTCAGCTAAGCAGTGTCATACAAGGGGATGCAGTTGCACATTACACTATTGAGTGTATTTTATAAGGCAGTGTTGATGTGATGAAAAATATTTCTTGAGACACATTTGTCCTTTGTTAGACACACTATACCCCAGTGTCCATTAATCTATCTGAGATTCAAGGTGACAAATAAAATCATTGCAAGCTGGTAACAGTATGACAGCCCAATACAGCCCAAATGATCAAGATCACACTGATATTTGAAACGGCAAATGCCCTCAGCTATGAAGGTTTCATCCAATCAGAGTTAGCTGGAAGGTAGGAGATTAGCAGGTAGGTGTTAGCTTTATAACTGTCTGACATTA